TCTGTTATAAAGTCATGCCGTTTGGATTAAAGAATACAGGGGCAACCTATCAGAGGGCCATGGTGACGTTGTTTCATGACATGATGCATAAAGAAATTGAAGTCTATGTCGATGATATGATTGTCAAAGCCAAGACGGAGGAGGAACATATCAAGAATTTGAGGAAGCTCTTTCAAAGATTAAAGAAGTGCCAACTAAAACTTAACCCAAATAAGTGTACTTTTGGGGTGATATCGGGAAAACTGTTGGGATTCGTAGTGAGCCGAAAGGGAATTGAAATAGATCCCGATAAAGTAAAAGCCATTCGAGATTTGCCAGCCCCAAGAACACAGAAGGAGGTTCGAGGATTTTTGGGGAGATTAAATTACATCGCTCGGTTTATCTCGCAGCTGACCGAAAAATGTGATCCCATATTCCGCCTTCTTCATAAGAATGATTCAGGAGAAAATTGTCAAGAGGCTTTTGAGGCAGTAAAGAGATATCTTTCGGATACTCCGACCCTAGCGCCACCTATACCAGGAAAGCCTTTAATTCTTTACTTGTCCGTTTATGACAATCCAATGGGATGTGTGTTGGGGCAACATGATCAAACTGAGAAGAGGGTGAGGGCTATCTATTATCTCAGTAAGAAGTTCACTGAGTGTGAGGCCAGATACTCACCAATTGAAAAATTGTGTTGCGCTTTAGTGTGGGCTACCAGAAGACTTAGACAGTATATGTTGTATCATACTACCTGGCTCATATCTAAGCTGGACCCTTTAAAGTATCTAATGGGGGTACCTGCATTGTCTGGAAGGTTAGCCCGTTGGCAAATCCTGTTGTCCGAATTTGATATCCAGTATGTAAGCCAGAAGGCAGTTAAAGGGAGCGCCATAGCAGAATTCATTGCGAGTAGGGCTTCAGAAGAATATGAACAGTTGAACTTCGATTTCCCGAATGAGGATTTAATGGCTATCTCGGAGGAAGAAACAATTGCTCTCACCGGTAAATACTGGAAGATGAACTTTGATGGTGCTTCAAACGCCTTGGGGCATGGGATTGGGGCAATCTTGGTCTCACCAAGTGAAGAGCATTATCCTTTTACCAGTCGGCTCAATTTTGATTGTACAAACAATATGGCTGAATATGAGGCTTGTGTTATGGGTCTTAGAGCAGCTATTGAACTCAAAGCAAAAATGCTGAGGGTATATGGGGATTCAGCTTTGGTAATTACCAGCTCAGAGGAGAATGGGAAACTAAAGATCCCAAACTTGTGGAATATCGTAAATTAGTTCTGGGACTTATTGAAGAATTTGAAAAGTGACTTTCAATTACCTCCCCAGAGAAGAAAATCAAATGGCGGACGCCTTGGTACTTTGGCAGCGGCCTTTAAGATGAACGAGCATTCAAATATGATGCCTATTGAGATGAAGGCTTATGAGTATCCAGCCCTGCTTTAACATTGAAGAAGAAGATGATGAAGGACCTTGGTACTATGATATCTTCCAGTATATAGATATCAAAGTTACCCCGAACAGGCAACTGAGAATGACAAAAGGACCATTAGAAGAATGGCAACAGGGTATGTGCTTAATGGTGAGATCTTATATAAGAAAAGCATGGATCAGGTCTTATTAAGGTGTGGACACTAAAGAAGCGAAAATGATTCTTGAAGAAGTACATGAAGGAATATGTGGCACCCATGCTAATGGGCATGTAATGGCCAGACAGATTATGAGATTTGGGTATTATTGGTCAACTATGGAAACTGATTGCATCAATTATGCCCGAAAGTGTCAAAGTTTTTATGGGGAAGAATGCACACCCCTCCTCATCCGTTGCATGTGATGACAGCTCCGTGGCCGTTTTCTATGTGGGGCATGGATGTTATTGGGCAAATTTTTCCAAAAGCGTCAAATGGTCATCGCTTCATTCTGGTAGCAATAGATTACTTCACCAAGTGGGTAGAAGCAGCTTCCTATGCAAGTGTTACCCAGTCAACGGTATGTAGGTTCTTGAAGAAGGAAATCATCTGCAGATATGGCTTACCAGAGAGAATTATCTCTGACAATGCATTGAACTTAAACAACAAGATGATGAAATCCGTATGTGAGCAATTCAAAATAAAGCATCATAATTCCACGGTTTATCGCCCAAAGATGAATGGGGCAGTGGAGGCGGCTAATAAGAACATTAAGAGGCTTATAGAGAAGATGACTGAAACTTATAAAGATTGGCATGAGAAGTTGCCATTTGCTTTGTTTGCCTATCGGACTTCTGTACGGACGTCAACTGGGGCAACTCCGTTTTCTCTAGTTTATGGGATGGAAGCTATCCTTCCTATTGAAGTGGAAATTCCCTCGCTCCGGGTTTTATCGGAGGTGAAGCTAAATGAGGCAGAATGGGTACAGGCCAGATATGACCAATTGAATCTGATTGAAGAAAAGAGATTGAAGGTTATTTGTCACGGTCAGATATACCAGAAGCGGATGATACGAGCACATGATAAGAAAGTTCACCCTCGAGAAATCCACGAAGGAGATTTGGTGCTCATGAGGATATTGCCCATTCCAAAAGATTTCCGAGGGAAATGGATGCCCAAGTGGGAAGGACCCTATGTTGTCAAGAAAGCCTTCTCTGGGGGAGCTCTAGTCTTAACTGAGATGGATGGGTCTGAATTACCTTATCCAGTGAATTCTGACGCAGTTAAGAAGTATTTTGCTTGAAGAAGAAAAAAAGAATAAGAAAAAATGAGTGAAAATGAGTGAAAAAAAAAGATGAGGGTTCAAGATGAAAACTCGAAAAGAGGCGTCTTGAAACCAAATGAGGTCGAGTCGAAAACCCGCAAAGGGCGATTTGAGTTTTAAATTCAGAGTTCGTGTATGGTGGAGGATCTGAATTGTTTTTGGGGAGTAGGAAGAGCTCCTGACATGGGTAACGACAATGGCCATTGGGGTTGAGACCAAAGATCAATGAGTCTCGATGGGGACAACCAGAGGAGGAATTGAATGCACGTGAGATTCAATATTGGTTTATGGCATCCAATAATGGGAGATTTTGGGGTCCAGAAAGGGTTTCGCACTCTTAGGTGTCATCACCATTTTGGAGGTCCTTTTGACAGAAGCTACACTCGAGTCATTCTGACGGCGTGCCAGTTCAAAAGCATTTGTGTTATTGATATTTGAAGACACCTATCCTTTTGTTCTTTTTTCCAATTAAAAGTTTGCCATGTAGTTGCCTAAAAATTCTCTGCATTTATATAAATAAAGAGACATTTTCCCTTTTCAATTTCCCTTTTACAAGCATCTAATTTTGAAAGAGTTAAAACGCATAGCTTAACTCGTGGTACATGAGATCATTTGGTATTATTATGCAAAAGGTTTTGGAAATACAAGTATTTTGAAGCTAAAATTGGTTTTAGCATGTATGTTTGTATGGTTATGGGAAACAGAAACCTTGGGATTCATAGAAAGTTCCAGTCATTAATTGATGACCCAAAGAGGCTGTTATTCATCAAGAAGTTGGTCATGAGTACTGGCGGGTTTGAAGAAAGAAAGAAGTCAAAGTCCTGTCAAACCAAGAGATATGGTATTGGGATTGTTAACTGGGGTGAACTGGTCAAATGTTCAGTGCCCAAGACAAAACCAAGATCCATCGAGAGATAGTGTTCCTTTGAAGAAGAAAGTGCATTAAATTGCATAATTGCATACATCGTAGGCATGAATAGGAGCATAGCATTGCATGATGATTTAAAACATCTACAGGTTCCCCACGTTTGATGGAGATTGTTCGAGTCTTATACTCTCTGAAGAAATAGGGGGCATACGCGATTTATGAAGATTGTGGGTCTTATACTCTCTGAAGAAATAAGGGGCAGACGCGATCGTTGAAGATTGTTCGGGTCTTATACTCTCTAAAGAAATAGGGGACAGACGCGATTGTTGAAGATTGTTCGAGTCTTATACTCTCTGAAGAAATAGGGGGCAGACACGATTGTTGAAGATTGCTCGAGTCTTATACTTTCTGAAGAAATAGGGGGCATACGTGATTTATGAAGATTGTGGGTCTTATACTCTCTGAAGAAATAGGGGGCAGACACAATTGTTGAAGATTGTTCGAGTCTTATACTCTCTGAAGAAATAGGGGACAGACGCGATTGTTGAAGATTGTTTGAGTCTTATACTCTCTGAAGAAATAGGGGGCAGACACGATTGTTGAAGATTGCTCGAGTCTTATACTCTCTGAAGAAATAGGGGGCAGACGCGATTGATGAAGATTGTGGGTCTTATACTCTCTGAAGAAATAGGGAGCAGACATGATTAATGAAGATTGTCCCAGTTCTATACTCTCTAAAGAAAGAGGGAGCGAACCCGTGGGCAGAAGATTTTCCAAGTCTCACTCTACTCTGAAGGAAAACTGGAGCGGATTAATGTGTCAAAGTTATTATGACCGGACAAATTTGACCATCTTTTGATCTTTGCTCTACTCTCGTTGCACGATATTGAACAAGAGGGGCAGTAGATGCTCATTTTGTCCGGGACGTCTTATGTGTATCCTTATGATTAATTTCTGGTTATTACTAAGTTCGTAGGATACGTTAGTTAGGGTTATCATTAATGATATGTTGGATTTCATAGTGGTTACGTGTTCTATATTAGTGATGCATACGGGTATATACATTGGGTACTTATAAATATTATAGTATTTATATATAAATAAGTAAGTAACTAAATACTGATTAATGTTTATTTGGTCTTTACAAATTCTAATTAAACTAAGATTACAACAGGCTGGACCAAACGAGCCCAGTTCCCAACAACCCAGTTCTTCAGCCCAACTGAAGAAACCCTAACCCATTAGGGTTTCCTTATCACCAGCCTCTAGCGCCGCAGCAGGAAGGCCGTTGGATCTGGCTCCACGATCCAACGGTTCCCAGCCCTCTGTGATTCCCGAGCCAACTGCAGACTCACGTGAAGCCACCACCGCGTTTCCAGATCGCGCACGACCAACCGAGCAATGGCTCAGCTACCACTGCTGCCGCCCGTGACCTGCTCCTCCATGTGACCCTGCAAACACACCAAACGAGAGCAGAAACAGACGAAAACAAAACTAGAGAGGAGGAGATCAACTAGAAATAGGGGAAGAAAACGGGAGTCTGGGGGTCATCAGCCAGGGAGAAAGAAAAAAAAAAGGAGAAACACAAATCTCAGGGAAAAAAAACAGAGAACAAAATTAAAAAAAAAAACAAAAACACCCAGAAGATCATTCATCAACACAAAAAAAACAGAAAGCAAGAGAAAAAAAGATCAACCACAGCAAACGAGAGATCCACGAAACAAAGAAAAACATTCATAACCAGAGAGTGAAACAGCTGAAAAATAGAAAACGAACCCCGTACCTTTATTCGTCTGAAGAAACTCACTCACATCGCTTAGGGCCAAAGCCACCACCAGTCGTTCAAGGTAACCTCTTTTGACCTTAGATCTATGTTGATTTTAGGGATTTAGGAGGGTCCTCGATGAGGTTTAGGTTTGGCTTGTGAGTCTAGGTCCTGAGCGAGGGGAGATGATCGGGTCTTGGGTTTTCTCAGCGAAGCCTTGAGGGAAGAAGAAGAGTGGTGGTGTATGGGTCTTTATTTTGTCGAGATATTATAAGTTTTGGGTTCAAGATTGTTTTTGGGGTTGAGATCATACCGGTGTGGCTCCTCACCGGAGCTCTATGAGGGGTGGCCATGGCAGCCACGGTGTGGTTTGGGTCTCGTTGAGGGTTGAGGAAGAAAGGATGAGAGAACGGCGAGGGTCGGTTTAAGGATGAAGAAGATAATGAACCAAGTAAAAAATTTTTACCCTAAGTATCATATACATCCAGTAACCAAAACGGCGTCGTTTAGAACTGAGCCAAAACGGCAGCGTTTTGAGTCCGGGAGTGATGCGACGTCGTTTGGAATGGGTCGAGACGGTGACGTTTTGAGAGTTATATCATCATCCGTGTTTTAGGTCGTTAGGGGGTAATCAGGTGCGAAGTCCAGTATCTTTTAATTAATTATATTTTAGTCCTTGAGTCAGTCTTTTCCGTTTTCTTAATTCGGTTCTACTAGTTTACGCGCATTCTGTTTTGGTCACCAGCTTATGTTATTTTTCATTTTTCGTTTATTTTTTCATTTAGCTTGTGAGTTTTGATGTTTGACAATTTAGTCCTATTGCAGACTTGAGTAATGTACTAATCAATTTGTATTTTGGTTAATAATTTGATGTTTAGCTATTTTCATCCTTTATGGTAATATTAAATTCAAGATTGGGTTATTCACAGTAGGTTTTTATTTTATTTTAATGAATGTGCGTGTTAATGTATGTATACATATATCGTATAAATGCACTTTAGCATAGACAACATTTTAATGAAAATGAACATTATTCTAGTTATAATTTATTTAGCATGAAAGCCCTTGTAACATATTAATAGGAGTATGATAGGTTTAATAATCTTAGAATATTAAGAATTTAAGATTTCCTTTGTAAAATAGATAACCATAATGCATGTGAATATTTTTATAGACTTAGAAATTTGTTGAATGCATGACATATTTTAGTTAGTCTTCGTATGATATCCTCATGAGCATAACCCGACATTATTACATAATTTGATTAAAGGTAATATCCTTTTAATTTAAAATTGTCTTAAGTGGGTTGTCTTAACTGATTAGATATCCGCTTTTGACTATTTTAAATTAAAAGTATATCCCATTAGTAACACATAAAAATTGATTGATCACTTTTAAAATTTGGAACGGAAGAAAAAGAAATGTTCGGTTATTTAAGTTTATCGAGATAAGGTTGTTATAACTATTTAAGATCTGGTCTCGATATTTTTAAATAATCGAATATTCTTTATCTTTCTAATGGTTGGGTAATTTTAACTTAATCAATATTGGTGCTTTCGAGTATGATAAAATTCGCATGTTGTTTTGTTTGGGATTATAAATCAAATTAAACTTGAATTTGTAAATTTTCATTGCAAAGACGTTAATTAATCGACGAGGTATCGATTTAGGGCGTTGTGGGGGTGCTAATCCTTCCCCACGCGTAACCGACTCCCGAACTCAAATTTTGGTAACACAGACCTAAACTTGTTATTTTAATTAAAATTAATTTTTTATTTAAAATGGCAAAACATTTTTGGGTGTCCGATCACACCCTAATCAAAGATCGGTGGCGACTCTTCGAACCATTTCTTTACTCGTGATAAAAATCCCAAATTTTCGAAACGAGAGGTTTCCTAAAATCGTATTGTTTTTAATTAAAAAATCAATCAAAAAGAAAATAATTAAAAATGACGCGGTTTTCAAAATCCCGCTTGTTCTGAGTTTTTAAAAAAAAATCGTTTCGACAGAATTACACACTGAAATTTAATTCCATTTCTTCTGTTGGAAACTAGACTAAATATAACCATATAAAGTACTTTTTCTAATTCAACATGTATAATTTATAGTGAATTTTCTAATCCAATTTCTAGAATCTGCTGCCCTGTTTTCTGATCTGTCATCGATCAAAAAATCATATCTTCCATTATACAAGTTGATGATGATCGATCAAATAGGTGGTAGTCAATTATGTGCCAGCTAGTCATCAAGTTGATGATGATCTTTCTAAGCCTCTGTCGAGAGCCTCTTTTGAGACATTTCGGTTTAAGGTGCAGGTGCAATCATTTGGAGGAGAGGAATAAGAGGCGGGGGAATGTTAAGAATGTGCAGTTGTTATCTAACTGTTGGAGTTGTTGAGTTCTGTTAGAGTTGTTAAAACTAGCAGGTAGGGTTAAAAGCAGTACGGTGTTTCTATATAAGCATGTACTTTAGTATTGAACAATGTGAATGAAATACACGTTTCTCTTATCATTGTTCTTATTCTTTCATCTGTTTTCCATTATAGACGAAAGACGTCGGACTTAACCGAGAATTGCCCATGAATGGCATACTCCGGAGCCATGTAGCTACTAAATAACAGCATTAGAAAGAACAATATTAGATTCATTGCTAATGATAGCATCGCATATTGGACTTTATGGTGCATACATCAATCTGGATTAGCGTAAAGCATAAGGTAGTTCCAACTGTTGTACGAGTATTGCCTTGAATCTGATTCACAGAAAATAGTCTTGCCAGACCAAAGTCTGCAATTTTAAGATTCATTTCTTTATCAAGCAATACATTGCTTGCCTTGAGATCGCGATCAACGATCCTGAGGCGAGAATCTTCGTCAAGATAAAGAATCTGTCGAGCTATTCCGCATATGATCTTGTAACACATTTGCCAATTTAATTGGCCTCGCTTGATTGGACCTGCAAAATCATCCACATAAGATTTCAATCCTGATAAACTTATAGGTACCAATGTACATGGTATGAACTATAAAGTTGTTAATAAAATAGATTGAAGCGAGAGGATTGTCCATATAATAAATCTATGTAATCAGAGTTGTCTTGGACATTTTTAGGGTCCTGAGCAAGAACTTAAAAATAGGCCCCATAAAATAAAAACATATTTTATTACTTTAAACAATTAATTTAATATTATATTAATAAACCATAGAAAAATGATTACATTTTATCAAATATATTATTTTTATTGTTTTGTTAAGAAAACATCTTAAATACAATTAAAAGAACAAAAAATGAAAGTGAGTGAGTTTGAATTTGAACAATAAATAAAAAATGAAGAATAATATATATTTTGCCATTAGATTAAGATTGAAGATAACTAAGAGTTAAAAGATATTGATAAATTAAATAATGAGATTCGGAAAAGATAAAAAAATAATTAGATTTAATTTAAAGATGAACAAATTAATAACAAAGATAGAGAAAGGGATGGAAATTTGAGAATTTTATTGAATTGAAAAAAATAGGAGTCCTCCGCTATAAATTTAGAAAGTAGGGTCATTTTATAAAATTTAAAAAATAGAAGGCCTCAATTATAAAGGTAGAAAATATAACTTCTTCGATTTTTTTTCCAGTTAGTTACCTATTTTATTGATGATGTTTACCCTGAAATTTGTTTATATTCACCCAATTCAAAATTTTATTGATTTTAAAGTATGTGTACCCACTCTAAAAAATATTTTTGAATCCGCCGTCGATAATAATATGTTCGGATTAGTTAAAAAATGGGTCTTAATGTGTGTAATAAAATAGATATGATAAAGTAATAGCCAAATTGGACTAGTTAACGGTATCTCTCACAAAGTTTGATTTCTCTTATAAAATAACTCCCAATTGCCTAATGGGAACAAAACTCACGTCATCGTTTAACAATAATTGTGTATGGGCATATTTGGATTATTAAACCTGTCGCATTCATTACCCATGGATTATGACAAGTCAACGACCAAGAACATTGACACCTCCATTGAGACCCGAATAGCAATCAACGCAATCCAACCGAAAACATGCCTGCAATTGTAATTCAAATCCCTGCTTGATACCTAAAGCAATACCCCAATAAAGCATCTGCTAACTAGAAGGCCTGGACTCAAGTGAAGCTGCAATTTAGACATTATTCTTGCAATGGATCACACTGATCAGCCTGAGAGTAGGAGAGGGGTAGAGATGGAAATTCATCATTTCAGCCATCAACATCCGTTGGTCTTGACGCAACATCAGAGTTTCACGAGTGAAGCGGCTTGCTCCTTCAGGTGTGGTGATCTCTACAAGGTTCGACCTATGGCTGCACTGAATGTAAGCATTTTCTTCACAAGGGATGTACAGAGTTAGAGTTGGCCCCTGAAATTGATCACCCCTTCCACTGCCAACACCATTTGACTCTTTTGCCAAAGTTTCCTTATAGGAGTGGTATTTGCGATTTTTGTCATAGCGGTTCTGCAGGATTTGTTTATCATTGTGCTTCTTGAGCATTCGATCTGCACGTGAACTGTGCTTTGCTTCAATCATCCCTTCCACTGCCAACACCATTTGACTATTCTGCCAAAGTTTCCTTATAGGAGTGGTATTTGCGATTTTTGTCATAGCGGTTCTGCAGGATTTGTTTATCATTGTGCTTCTTGAGCATTCGATCTGCACGTGAACTATGCTTTGCTTCAATCATCCCTTCCACTGCCAACACCATTTGACTCCTCTGCCAAAGTTTCCTTATAGGAGTGGTATTTGCGATTTTTGTCATAGCGGTTCTGCAGGATTTATTTATCATTGTGCTTCTTGTGCATTTGATCTGCACGTGAACTATGCTTTGCTTCAATCATCCATTGCTGCAAATGTTCCCACTTATTGATTGCTCCGGATGCACAAAACCGTTATCTGGTCCAGTTTACCACTGTGCTAATTGTTCTTATCCTAAATTTTTTAACCTTCATCAGGAATGTGTTGAACTATCCCTTGAGATTAAACACCCTTACTACCATAAACATCCTCTTACTCTCCTGCCAATATCACCTACTCATCCTGACGCCAGACAGAATAGTGATTATCCTGTAGGCTAGCTCCGACAGACGATTCACAAGAGAAAATTCGCCCAAAAACCAGAGAAAAAAGTCTCTAGGATTTAATAAAATATTATAAAATCAATAACTATCTCAAAAGCAGTCCACAAGCCGGACTGTTATAGCAAAAAAAATCGTCTTTATTCGAATTTTGCCAACAATAGCAAAAATCGTATTTATTCGAATTTTGCCAAAAATAGCAAAATCCCGAAAATCACTCTAAATTGAAATTCGAAATAAAATAAGCAATCTCCCAAAAATCCGGTCTAAATCGGATTTAAATTGACTTCCTAATTAACAATCGAAATATTACCATAAATAGTAAAAAATAACTAAATCTAGTGATTCGGAGGGGAAAACGGCAGAATTTGAGGTTGAAAAAAAGGCCACATGGAGCGTAGCTCGATGTGGAGAGCGTGCGCGTCGAAAAGAGCTTTCCGGATTGGGGTCTTATGCGCGATTCTGACACCTGTAGCCAAAGTTATGGCCAAAAGACTGAAACATACTCAAAACGACCCCAATAAGGAACATGTCACAATCAATTCCCGCCTTTGCGCTGATCTGCCAACTCATGGTATCTCAGCGCCATCAACGTGCAATCTGACAGCTCAGCATCATCTGTCTCGGATCCCCCTACATCAGTCGCCCCGGGTTGGAAAGAACTCGTCCTCGAGTTCAGAGTAGTGTTATCAGGATCCACAAAACAATGACTCAGGTGCTTCACATTAAAGACATCAGAAGTCTTCAAGTGACTGGGAAGTCGCAACCTGTAAGCATTATCATTGATCTTCTGCACGACCTCACAAGGTCCAATCTTCCGATCCTTAAGCTTATTATACTCACCAACAGGAAAACGATCACGAGTTAATACAACCCAAACAAAATCACCAACATCAAAAGTACTGACGACGATGATTGTCGACCCGAGTCTTGTACTTGGTATTGCTCTCATGAATGGTCTGTTTCACCTGCTCATGGATACCCCGAAGATACTTTGCCATCTCATCTGCTTTAGGACTGAAACGTCCTATACGTGGAATAGGGCTAAGTCCAACACCCCGGATGGGTTCTGACCATAGACAATCTCAAATGGGCTTAAACCTGTGGTTCTGTTTTTTGATCTGTTGTAGGCAAATTCTGCCTGAGGCAATGCCAAATCCCACTGCTTCGGCTTCGTTCCTGCCAAACACCTTAAAAGGTTTCCCAAACTTCGGTTCACCACCTCAGTCTGGCCATCCGTCTGGGGGTGGTAGGCGCTACTGAAATTCAACTGTGTTCCCAGTTTCCCCCACAGGCTCTTCCAGAAATGACTGATGAACTTAGTATCACGATCTGAAGTGATGGATCGAGGAACACCATGTAAACGCACAATCTCCTTGAAATAGAGATGGGCAATCCGGTCAGCATCCATAGTCTTTCTGCAAGCTACAAAATGAGCCATCTTGGAAAACCTGTCAACCACAACAAAGATAGAATCAGAGGCCCTTTGGGTGCGGGTAAGCCTAGTACAAAATCCATGCTGACATCGAACCAAGGAGCTTCAGGAACAGGTAAGGGAGTGTACAATCCCGCATTGGTGAGAACTCCCTTAGACCGCTGGCACACATAACAACGGTCCACATAATGGGTCACATCACTAGTCAACTTGGGCCAATAAAATTCAGAAGAGATAAGGGCCAATGTCTTATCTCGGCCAAAGTGTCCCTCATTATGGAGTTCACTTATAATTTGCTGCCTCAATGAACAATCTAGAATGCACAATTGTAATCCACGAAACAGATACCCATTATGCAAAACAAAATCATGACGGTGACCCTCAGTTACCTCCTGAAATATCCTTCCAAAGGAAGGATCAGCTGCATACATATCTGTGAACGTCTCAAATCCTGCAACTTTAGTACTCATGGTGGTGAGAAGTAAGGTACGACGGCTCAGGGCATCTGCGACGCGGTTCAAACTCCCTGCTTGGTGCCTCAGCGTAAAAGTGAATTCTTGCAAGTATGCTACCCACTTGGCATGACGTCTACTCAGCTTGTGTTGGCCATTGATGTACTTCAAGGCCTCATGATCGGTAAACAGAATAAACTCCTTCTGTACTAGGTAGTGACGCCAATGCTTCAGGGACTGAACTATGGCATAGAACTCCAGATCATAAGTGGAATAATTTTTCTTTGATCCCGATAGCTTCTCACTGAAAAAAGCAACCGGACGACCTGCCTGACTCAGAACACCACCAATGCCAACGCCAGATGCATCACAATTTACCTCGAACACTTTGTCAAAATCTGGAAGTGCCAAAACTGGAGCCTCGGTCATCTTCTGCTTGACCAGTTGAAAACTGGCCTCTGCCTCCTCAGACCACTGGAAATCACGCCCCTTGAGGCACTCTGTGATAGGGGCGATCAGAGTACTGAAATTTCTAATGAATCGACGGTAAAAAGACGCCAAGCCATGGAAACTTCGGATGTCATGTAAGGTTCTTGGTCTGGGCCACTCCAAGACTGCATCTAAATCCTCTAAATCCTCACGATCAGAGGCCTCACGATCCTCTAAATCCTGCGCCGCCAGGCGCTGGGTTAATTCTGCGACTTGCCTCTGCAAATCCGCAATCATCACATCCTGAACGCTGCGATCACGGCGTTGGGCTTCCTCATTCGGAACCTGCTCACGACGACCACGACCACGACCTCCAGCCATTGAAACTGGTGAAATTTCCCACGAAGATGTTGAAGCTCTGATACCAACTGACGCCAGACAGAATAGTGATTATCCTGTAGGCTAGCTCCGACAGACGATTCACAAGAGAAAATTCGCCCAAAAACCAGAGAAAAAAGTCTCTAGGGTTTAATAAAATATTATAAAATCAATAACTATCTCAAAAGCAGTCCACAAGCCGGACTGTTATAGCAAAAAAAAATCGTCTTTATTCGAATTTTGCCAAAAATAGCAAAAATCGTATTTATTCGAATTTTGCCAAAAATAGAAAAATCCCGAAAATCACTCTAAATTGAAATTCGAAATAAAATAAGCAATCTCCCAAAAATCCGGTCTAAATCGGATTTAAATTGACTTCCTAATTAACAATCGAAATATTACCATAAATAGTAAAAAATAACTAAATCTAGTGATTCGGAGGGGAAAACGGCAGAATTTGAGGTTGAAAAAAAGGCCACATGGAGCATAGCTCGATATGGAGATCGTGCGCGTCGAAAAGAGCTTTCCGGATTGGGGTCTTATGCGCGATTCTGACACCTGTAGCCAAAGTTATGGCCAAAAGACTGAAACATACTCAAAACGACCCCAATAAGGAACATGTCACAATCAATTCCCGCCTTTGCGCTGATCTGCCAACTCATGGTATCTCAGCGCCATCAACGTGCAATCTGACAGCTCAGCATCATCTGTCTCGGATCCCCCTGCATCAGTCGCCCCGGGTTGGAAAGAACTCGTCCTCGAGTTCAGAGTAGTGTTATCAGGATCCACAAAACAATGACTCAGGTGCTTCACATTAAAGACATCAGAAGTCTTCAAGTGACTGGGAAGTCGCAACCTGTAAGCATTATCATTGATCTTCTGCACGACCTCACAAGGTCCAATCTTCCGATCCTTAAGCTTATTATACTCACCAACAGGAAAACGATCACGAGTTAATACAGCCCAAACAAAATCACCAACATCAAAAAGTACCTGACGACGATGATTGTCGACCCGAATCTTGTACTTGCTATTGCTCTCATGAATGGTATGTTTCACCTGCTCATGGATACCCCGAAGATACTTTGCCATCTCATCTGCTTTAGGACTGAAACGTCCTATACGTGGAATAGGGGCTAAGTCCAACACCCCGGATGGGTTCTGACCATAGACAATCTCAAATGGGCTTAAACCTGTGGTTCTGTTTTTTGATCTGTTGTAGGCAAATTCTGCCTGAGGCAATGCCAAATCCCACTGCTTCGGCTTCGTTCCTGCCAAACACCTTAAAAGGTTTCCCAAACTTCGGTTCACCACCTCAGTCTGGCCATCCGTCTGGGGGTGGTAGGCGCTACTGAAATTCAACTGTGTTCCCAGTTTCCCCCACAGGCTCTTCCAGAAATGACTGATGAACTTAGTATCACGATCTGAAGTGATGGATCGAGGAACGCCATGTAAACGCACAATCTCCTTGAAATAGAGATGGGCAATCCGGTCAGCATCCATAGTCTTTCTGCAAGCTACAAAATGAGCCATCTTGGAAAACCTGTCAACCACAACAAAGATAGAATCAGAGGCCCTTTGGGTGCGGGGTAAGCCTAGTACAAAATCCATGCTGACATCGAACCAAGGAGCTTCAGGAACAGGTAAGGGAGTGTACAATCCCGCATTGGTGAGAACTCCCTTAGACCGCTGGCACACATAACAACGGTCCACATAATGGGTCACATCACTAGTCAACTTGGGCCAATAAAATTCAGAAGAGATAAGGGCCAATGTCTTATCTCGGCCAAAGTGTCCCTCATTATGGAGTTCACTTATAATTTGCTGCCTCAATGA